ATAGGAAAGTGCTGGAATCCCAGGAGCCCCTTCAAGGGCATGCCCCCAGTAATCTAACTTGTTTCCTGAAGATTTCACCACCTCCCTGTACATCGCAGACTAGGGCCATCACCTGGGCTCTTGAGATCATTCAGGATCCAAATTCTAGGGGCTGGGGAGGTAGCTCGATGTGGAGCGCTGGCCTAGCACATTTACAAGGTTCTGGGCTTCATCCCCAGAAAGTCTGACTGTGCATCAGAATCACCGAGGAAGTCTTTTGCTTGTTGATGGAATCCCAAAGGCATGTAGAATTGTATGTCATAGAAGCACCTCAATAGCTAATTGATAACAGCTATTGAATACTCATTGTGTACTGGACATTATTTTGAATGTTTTTCATGTATTGCGGTTAACCTTGAGCTCTTTTGGACCCCAGGCACACACCTGGCATACTCTGTCCTTGCAGGTGACACCAACACTGTTAGACACAAAGTGCGCCAAGGCCTGCAGTTCTGGCTGATGCCACCCACTTCAGTCCTGTGTGTGTCCTCATCCCCTCCTGTTGCCCTGCAAGGCCCAGCTCTCTCTTCTTTGCCCCGTTCTCCTCCTCGTAGAGGAGGCACAATCTCCTCTCTGACCCCAGTGAAGCAATTCTCACTTCCAACCCAGGAAGGACGCGGCAGAGACTAAAGAGATTGTTACTATGTGGTTGGAGGGGCGTACTGGGAGGAGGAGCAGCACTTCTCCAGGACACCTGCGTGTGCGGCTTTGACTCTTACGAAACAGCATTTGTGTATAGTTCTTTTTGTCTCTAGTCTTGCAATCTCCACCCAAAATACTGTGCATTAAAGTTATTTAGGTGAACTCTCTCCTCTATCCCCTTCCATGTGATTATATGCATCACTTCTATTACCATTAAATTAAATTATGATCGTTTGTACCCCACTTCTGGTCTCTTGACATTTGGGAACCAGGGCTGAAAAGCAGAGATCTGGAATACTCCAGAACAGCAGGAGTGCAGTGCAATCCTCCCAGAAGCTCGAGTCCCACATCTGCCTCCCTGTGAGATGTGGCCCTCCGGTTCTGCCTTTCACACTGATTGAGAAGCCCCCCGAGACAAGAAGCCCTGTGCAGATGCTGTAGGAAGTGGAGCGTGGCTGATCCCAGCCCTGTTCCTGGGGACGGATGAGCCCTCCTGTGCCGTGGGGTCATGTCAACATGAAAAGGGGTGTGGAGGCAGAACCCCGAGTCCCCTGGGTTTCCACAGACCCACCCCCAGTCCCAAGTGCTGGTCACGGTCCTGAGTCCTCTGTGCTTTCTCAGAAGAGGAACTTGGAGGTGGGGCAGGTCCCACTGAGAATGTTTCAACACCACCCCCGGGTTGGTGAGGGGGGCATTCCTGGCAGTACTGGGATTTCACAACGGGGGCTCCTTTCACCAGTTCAGGGCTGGGGAGTTGGATGCCGGGAAGCCAGGCCTGGCCTGCCAAGGTGTTGAAAAGAAGGCGTCATCTTGGAGAGAAGGGGTCCCAAACCATGCATTTCTGCTGATGAGTCACAAGAAGTGACTGACCTTGAGTCATCAGGCGGAAATGAACGTGCCAGGCCAGGGCGCTGAGCCACCATGTGCTGGGCTGACCCCAGAGCAGCTCGGCTGAGGGCCCCTCAATTGGACTTCCTTGGGCCACCCAAGCCCAGAGCCCAAAAAGTCCTGACTCTTAGAAGAGCTGGGGCCAAGTGCTAGACGTCCTGGGGATGCCACACTGGAAACTGGAAACCGAGGCTGCCAGTATTTCCCTGGAGAAGGCCTTGGCAGTCTTCACTGAACCAGATGCACTGAGAGCCAGGAGGAGAAGCCATGGTCAGCGGCCACAAGGGGACCTGGGGGGGCAGCAGCTGACGTTTGTGAAGCCAGCTAGCAGCAGTCCCAGGACACTGTTCATACCCCTAAAAATGGACATGGTGGGAATGACACTGGCTGAGGGTGTATTTGTGTCTTGTGTTTGTATCATGACAGTATAGGACGCATAAGTGGTCATGCCTGCCTCAAAGCAAGACCAGCTGTCCATCACATCCGGGCTGGGCTGAATGGTGACTTCAAACCCAGTTTGCACAGGTCAGCCTGTGCTCTGGGCTCAGCACACCTGCATGCCACCCTGGTCATTTCCCTGGGGGAGGACTGCTGGGTGTCCCTCTGTGGCTGCAGTCTTCTGAGCTCTGGCCCTCTGTAGAGGAAGCAAGGCTGGCTGGTTGGCAGACATAGGGAGGAACTGCAGAGCCCGAGCCCCCAGCTGTGTCAGGGTGATTGAGCCCTCCCTTGTTGGCTAGAAGCGTGCCTTTTGCTGATACCTGCGTCTCACCATGGTGAGAGCCAGTGTACTGTCGTGGCTAAGCACCTCGATTCCCTGGGTGCACATCCTGGCTTTGTTACCTCCTAGCCGTGTGACCTCAGCAATTGTTTGACCTCTGTGCCACCAATTGCCTGTCCTCCTGTCTCAACAGCATCCCACAAAAGTTATTCAGGCTTCAGCCTCTTGCTGGTGATTTCCGTCACCCTGCTAGTGGCCTACAGGGGATCTATTCAGGTTTAGCTTTTGTTCCTGGCTCTGGTCCCACCTCAGCAGGGAACTCTTGCCTGTGATTTGCCCTACAGTGGCCCAACCAGATGCCTCCCCTGCCCCATCTCAGCCCTCCGGCCCTGCCATTGCTTCCGGGCAGCGCAGGAGCAGCCGGGTGGGTTTGTCGGCTGAGCAGGTGGCAAGCTGGGCCTAGGACGGCAGTGCCCAGCTGTCCTGTCCCTGGCTGCTGTGAACGAGCCCCTTATCCATGGTGATCCCGTCTCCCTCTTATGTGAGATGCCTTCCAGGAAGACCTGTACTCCCTCCAGTGACTGACCCTAGAGTTGATGTGAAGAATCAGTCTATGAGCACCAAGGGTAGGCTGATGCCATCTGGGCCAGCCACCTATGTCCCAAAGTCCTCCACAAGAGGTGCATGGTGCTCTGGCTCTTCTAGCAGGTCTTGGCTGCCACCAAAGGCAGAAGGGCAGAGTTCCACCACCATGCTATTCCCCATGGGCACTCGTCCATGCCAAGCCCTGGCACACTCCAAGGTAAAGGAGGGGCAGAGCACTGGGAATCTTCCCAGGCTGGCTAGGAGCAGTGGACTCTACTTGGTCCAAATGCAATTGTAAGTGTTGCCATGAAAGGGCCTAAGGATGCCTCGTTCATCCAAGTGTCAGTCATGGACACACCCAGGTGCTGAGTCCTGAATCACCAGTGCAAGTTTTTCTGAACTCAGCTGGCCACCCCAGCACCAGAGACATGGGACCCGGAAGGTCAGGCTGTGTCTGAGGCTTGCCCAGCCCTGAAGCCCCATGCTCCAGGCTCTAGCTCCTTTGCAAGTGAATTCCTGCACCCAGAAGGCGGCACAGGCCCTCACCTCTTTGTGGAATACTCTGTGCCTTCTTTTCCCCTGGGCTTCCTCCTCCAGCTGAAATTCTCCTTTTTCAGAGTCCCCAGAAACCTAGATGGGCTCTCTATATATCCCACCCAGCGCCATCATTTCTTCGGTGGCCTGGGATTCCTCCTTGCTTTGGTGATTGTCAGTGTGTACACCTCCACCGAGGAGCATGCCCAGCACATAGTAAGTGGTCAGGACATCAGTGACAGAATGGACCTTTGGGTGCTACTTTCTACCTCCCCCAATGCAGTCCTAGCACTCTAATGCTCAGGAACATCAATGAAGCGAGGCTGGATGGCTCACAGGGGCTTATTTTCCTCTGTGTGGTTCCCCACAGGCTGGGGAAGCAGAAGGATTTGCCTTTATGGGGACCTTGCAATGTGAATGCGTCAGTCACACAGCTGGGTTAGGAGTTCATCTCTGTTTGCATGTCTTTTGCATGGCTCAGCTCTGAACTCTAAGCTTCCTCCTCCTGGTTTCCTGGTCTGTCTCCAGATCTACAAAGCTGGCCTGCCACTTCCTTACCTTTGTTTAGGACCCCGTGCTACTGGCCAGGGACAAGATCTTCCCAGGTTAGTGGTGGTGGAGACTGGTACCCTGGCACTGATGCCATAGGGGCTTATTCAGGGCATCCACTGTGATCCTTCATCTTCTCAACAGCCCTGTAAACTAGCACTGGGGTCATCCCCGTTTTATGGATAAGCAAGCCAAATTGCAGAAAAGTTAAATAATTTACTATAAATTTCGTGGCTAGCAAGTATCAGAGTTTAGAGTTGAGCCCAAGACTGTTGGATGCCAGAGTCAGACTTAACCACTGTACCTGACCGCTTGTGATGCAGGCAGCTGTCACCCAGCACCAAGGAGCTGGGCTGGCCCTGCCGGAGCCTCTTAGTTCTCATGTGGTGCTAAAGCCCTTTCCTAGAGCCTCCCCTTGCTGGCCTTGTGGCTGAGATAAGGATTTCCTGGAGAACAAGGAGGGGCGGTGAGGCGAGGGCTTTGGGTAACTGATGACACCAGAGACCTAGGTGCCCAAGCAGGGGGCATGGTGGGATACGAGCGAGGGTGTGTGGGCACAGCTCCGGCCTGCACCTCAGCAGCAGAGTGCCCGGCACATGGCGGGAGATGCTGCAGCTGTCTCTGGAGGACTTGGGGACACAAGCCTGGAAATTCAGAAAAAATCCCCCAAGTGATTTTGACTTCCCCTCAAGGTCCTCCTGGGCCGTGTCATTCTCTGGGCCTTCCTTGGCACTGGGTGGCACTCCCCACTTGGAACGGGTAGGCAGGTAGGCCTGCGTCCCCGTCTGCTCCTGTCTTTGGCCGTGAGCTTCCTCTAATGCTCTGCTTCCGACTCCTTGGTCCTGTGGCTGGGACGTGACCTGCTGGAAGCTGCTTCTGCCCTGGAGACAGCTGAAAGCCTCCTGTGTGCTCACCGCACCCGAGCCGTGGTGGGCTCACGGCATGGGGCTAGGAATTCTGCTTTATCTTTGCTGCCGCTCTTAGGAGCTCAGGGCTCCCTGAGCCAGGAGCTTATCGGGGTGACTGGTGTCTGTCCCCACTGCAGGCAATGACTCAGGATGCAGCCAGGGGCCACGACATGCACGGAGGACCGCATCCAGCACGCCCTGGAGCGCTGCTTACATGGACTCAGCCTGGGCCGCCGCTCCACATCCTGGTCAGGTTGGTCTGAGAAGCTGGGGATGCGTCCTGAGGGCCTGAGGCAGCCTCGGGTGCAGCGTGGGGGCGGGAAGGCTCTATTTCAAAGCCTGTGCGTGTGATTTGAGCAAGTCCCTCACCTCCCTTGGCCAGGCGCCTGACGTGACACCGATGCCCCATGATTCCTTGGTGTGTGGCTCTGTTTGCCTTCTCCAGCATCTTCCTCACCCTGATCAGGGCAGCATGGTGCCTCTGCAGCGTACATTAGATGCATAGCTCCTAGAGGCACCAAACTGTTTAGAAACAGCAGCCGGGCATTTGCAGGTGGCGCTGGGCACAGTTCGCCTGTTCACTTGTCTCTAGCTCTTTTTACCCCTCCCTCTTCCCTGTGGAACAAGGGAAGCCCACAGCAGCTTCAGGGAGTGGGAGGCCTCTATGCTCCATGCTCCTCGGGACTAAGGATCAGGTGTCCACAGGCGGGGCCACCGTGTCTCTGAAGGCTGGTGCCCAGTTGTAGGAATTCCTTATCCCCATTAGAGTGGGTATAGTAGTATATGCCTGTAATCCCAGTACTCAGGAGGCCTAGATGGGAATATTCCAGTTCACAGCCTGAACTACCTAGAGAGACTGTCTCGAAAAAAAATTTGTTTTTTATATCCTGTATCTCATTTTGTGTTGTATCAAAGGAGAGGGTCAGCACTCCCCTTGACAAGGACGGAAGAGGCCCTTGGGTCTCACCACACGCATATGGTTAAGGCCACCTAACTTCATGGCATGTAACCACTGTGCCTCATTTTTCTCCCTAACTATTCTATGAGATAGATACAGTGTTGAACATACCTAGTTCCTTCCTACCCCAAGCCCTTTGCACTTGCTGCCTAGAACTCTTCCCTAGAAATTGTGCATAGCAGGCCTCAGCTCAACCATCACCTCCTCAGAGAGCTTTTCCTGGCTTTGGAATGAAACAGATCTAAATTAAAATTGTCTCTCACTGGCTATATAACCTTGTACAAGCTATCTATTCTCTTAGGACTCCATTTACCTTCTCTGTAAAATGGGAATAGCAGGACCACTTTTCCAAAGAAAGAGTAAAGACTCCAGGAAAATACAGGCAAGGCCCAGCACCACAGTGGCACACAATAGGTGTCCGTGGCAGTTTTGCTGCCAGCCTCCTTACCCAGGTTTTGATGGAGCCCAAACTTAACAGGGCAGCAGTAAGAAAAAAAAAAAAAAAAAAAAAAAAAAAACTCTGATTTTTGCAAGTTTTTCAAATACCTGCCTACCTGAGCACACGACCAGGGGCTCCAGAACTTTGAAAGGAGCCCAGGGTTCTGAGCAACTGGGGGCTGAAGCCCATGAAATTCATGGTCAGTCCACCTCTACCCTTACTGTCCACTCCCCTTCACACAGCACCCCCATCCCTGTGACCACCCCTTAAAATTTTAGGGGTTTGCCCTTGCTAACTTCGGGGAAACAGAGATCAACCAACTCAAGAAAGTCTGGGGAAGTTACAATGACAAAACGCCCAGCGTAGCTTCTGAATTACAGATAAATTTAGCTTCCCCTTCCCCAGCTCCACTGCCAGGCAGTCCTGGGGAGTCCCAGACGGTGTCCAGGTGGAGCTCGCTGAGCCCTTCTCTTCCGCCTCTGACCTAACTTCCCTGCATCTCAAGGTACTGGCACCTTCCGCAGGAGCCCAGGGCTGGGAGGATCTGACGCGTCCCCAGAGGTCAGGGTTAGAGCCTCGGCGTGGTCACCGGCCTTTGAGGAGATCCCAGCCTGGATCCCTAATCCTGGTGGCTCTTGAGTCGCTTGCGCATAAAGGACCAGGATATGGTGTTATGTCCCGAGGGCACAATAGGGTTGAGTCTAGAATTTTCTCCTAGCCGGCCTCCCTCCTCCTCCCTCTCCCTCCCCCATTTTGTCTCTCTTTTAAAGAGAAGAAAAATAAAATAAACCAGAGTTTCACATCAGGCTAATAGGAGAGTAACAATAACTAATATATTGTGTATTCTTGTCTTCATACAAGTTGCTCAGAGTACAAAATACAGGCATGAAATTCTGTCCAAACAAGAGCAGCAAATTCTTTCTTTTCAGTGAACTAAGAGAAACGAGCTATGTAACTGTCTTAACTGTCTTGTGTATATGTATGTGTATTTTTCCTTTTCTTTCCCTTCCTTTCCCCCATCAGTCTCTCTTTTCTTTTGAACAGTTTCTCCCAATTCAAAATATCTTTGTACATTGTGGATCTTACGTATTCATTCTGCTTCTCATATGAGTGAGACAATATGATGTTTACACATGTGGGTCTGATTTATTTAACTTATGAGTATGGTCTCAAGCTGTATCCATTTACCTATAAAAGTCTCAAGTTTATCCTTCTTTATGGCTGAGTAATATATATATCTCACATCTTTTTATATGCATTCACCGGCTGATGGGCATTTGGGTTGTCTCCCAGATCTAGCTATTACCAAATATCCTGCTATAAACATGGGTGCACATGATTGCTGTATGATGTTTTTGATTCTTCTGGGAAGACACCCAGAAGGGGAACAAGCCTCTCTTACTTTAAAAACGATGTCCCAGCACATCCAGCACGCACTAAGGCATCCCGGGGTAGATTCCCCCACCTCCTGCCTGAGGCCGACTGCCCGAGACCTGCACTGACCACCTTGCCTCTTCACTCTCTTCCCAGCTGGGCTGTGTCTGAACTGCTGGAGCCTGCAGGAGCTAGTAAGCAGGGACCCGGGCCACTTCCTCATCCTCCTGGAGCAGATCCTGCAGAAAACCCGGGAGGTGAGATTGAGCCCAGGATGGGAGGGCGGACCTTGGATGGGCCTCCTCCATTGAGAAATAGGTCAGCCATGGGGCACGTGGGGTGGATAGTGCTTGGCTTCTTCTGAACCTGGTGGGGGTTTGAGGCGCTGAGAAACCCCTACCATCTCCTGTGTGCTTGACAGACTTCCGCAGGGTCTAATTTAGACCCTTCCTTCTCTGCACCATGAGAAGGCCCTGGAACCCACGGGTTATGCCAGGCTAGCAGTGCTCGTGTATTGAGAAGGGGCTGTGTTTTTCCGAGGATGAACAGGTAGCAGGTGAACCACAGGCAAGAGTGTAAGCTGCTTCCTAGGAAACACAGTGCTTGTAAGTCAAGGTATTGACTAGAAAGCGGAGAGGAAGCTTTCCTGAATTCCTTTCCTTAGAAGGAACACATAACAACAGAGACATGGAAGAGAAAGCAGATTGGGAGGATGAACTCCTCTGAGAGTTCAGTTCTGGGCTTTTCTGACTAAGGAGTGTGTTTAATGCTGGCCGGGCTGTGTTTCCGGACTGGCTGTGAGTCCTCCAAAGAGGGTTCTGGTTCTTTTATAAAGAGGACTCTTGAAGTCTGGAAAACACGTGATTTTTCCCTCTGAGTCGCTGCCCCTAGAAGAAGGAAGTTTATCAAGGCATCCAGAGTCACAATTCTGGCATCGTCTTTTGGCTGACGCTTTAATACGCTGATCACAAGCAAACCAATTCAAGACCTCACCCACCTCTGGAGAGCTCAACTTAGAAACCTAAATATAAAGGGTCAGCTGCTGGGTAGCAGTAGGGCTTTGTGGAGAGGATCAGACAGCATGTGTGGTAAACACATCCTCTATTCATGGCGCAGGGAGGGAAAGGTCTAAATTTGACCCTGAGGAAGTCTGCCGAGCACAGAAGAGATGGTTGGGCTTTCTGGGTGCCTCAGACCCCTACTAATTTCAGAATAGGCCGACAGACTTACGGCATTTTGACTTCCCTGTCTTCTCTGCAGGTTCAAGAAAAGGGTACCTATGACCTCCTCACCCCACTGGCCCTGCTCTTCTATTCCACTGTCCTCTGTGTAAGTCCAGGTGGGCCAGGACGGAAGAACAAGACAAGGAAGAGAGAGGAGACAGGGAAGAGAGATTCCCCAGCGTGGGCACACCTCCACACCTCGAGGCATAAACAGAAAAGCTGTCCAGTGATGACACTGAGATGGATGTCACTCCCTAATGTCTTTAGAGCCACCATCTTATATTTATTTGCCATTTGTATTTCTTCATCTGAGAAGTGCCCATGTTTGGCGTGTGAGCCGCCATCTTGAAAGGCCTCCAATATCTCCATGTGCCTGCCATGGTGCCTGTCATCTCTGGACTTCCAGAGAGGAAGTTCTGTCACACCAAGTTCATACGTCACAAAAGAGTCTGTTGAGAGATTTTATGTCCATCTCATTTTTCATCCGAGTGGTCAGTTTTTCCTAATGACCCCTGTATTCACCAGACTAGTGATGCCAAAGGGTGCTATGTACATCAGTGCCACTCAAGCAATAAACATTTCTCTTTACCAAGGATATTTAAATGAAGATAATTTAAGCCTTGAAATTCATACCCCAAAATGAGAGGCACCATTTAGAACGATGCCCATAGGGATGGCTTTTCAGAGAGGCTCTTCAAGTGTTGACTAAACCCTGGTCTGTTAGGTAAAAACAGGGCATTTATTGTAGAAATACCTTGCATCTGTAACTTATTCTGGTGGGTCACTTCTGGTTCCTCCTGACACTGCCCTGTGACACACTGCTCCCAGGAGATGCTCCTCCTTTCTGGAACATCCCAGAAAAGGACAGAAGCAATCCTGGAATAACAGTGAGTGCTTTCTCACACGGATTTTTCTGTTTGCTGCTCCTCCTCCATCCTAGACACCGCATTTCCCGCCAGACTCAGATCTCCTTCTGAAGGCGGCCAGAACCTACCACCGGTTCCTGACCTGGCCCGTTCCTTACTGTAGCATCTGCCAGGAACTGCTCACCGTCATCGATGCTGAACTCAAGGCCCCAGGTAAGTGCTGAGGAGCCTCGCCCGGGAGGCAGGGCTCATGCGGTAGGATGCTTCGGTCTCCTCTGAAGCTGTTCTTTGGTTATGACCCTGCTCATCTTGCAGCCTTTGATTCTCTCTGCTCACACCTTGGGGCAGAGCTTTGGAGTCTCCTCTTCATGGGGCATGCAGGATCAGGTGGCAGACTACGTGTAAGCTAAGGTTGTAACCAGAGGAAGGGACTCAAAGCGACTTCTTTAGAACAACCAAATCCTACCACTTATCTGTGCCTCTACTCTGGTCAGCAAAGGGGCAGCTCAGGCTGCCCAGGTCAGCTATAGGAGCTCCCAGAACACTGACAGGAAGCCTCTGCCTGTTTCCTTCTCCCAGGAGCAGACAGGCGATTGTATTTGCATGGTGATTCGGTTCTGGCCAAAGAAAGATGTAGCCATCATGATGAGTATGGACAGACTTGGCCCTGATCAGTTTTTAATGTACAGTGTCTAAAAAGTGGGAATTCTTGAGAAACTGCAAATAAAAATGAAGTCTAAGAAAACTGAGATAGGGCAAGAGAGACCATAACCAAGTATGATTAACTGAAGTCACCTTATATTAACCTACTGTCACATTAATATTGCAAGGGAATTGAACTGAGGAGCTCTAAACAACATCTCCAGTCACTTTAATTTTTTAGACATTGAATAGGGTCTTGCTAAGAATTCGAGGCTGGCCTTGAACTCCTGCCTCAACTCTCCACCCCCAGGAGCTGGGATTACAGGTGTGCACCACCATGCCTGGCTATAAAAAAATAAGCTAAAGTCTATTTAAGAGAATAAGTGCTCTGAGGTATAATATTTACTTATATTTCTGCTATTGTTGTGTTTTGTTTGATTGGAGACAGAGTTTCTCTATGTCATCTAGGCTGATCTGGAACTTGAGATCTTCCTGGTTCAGCCTTTTTTGAGTTCTGGGATTATAGGTGGGTGTAACCATACTCGGCTTTATATATTTTTGCATGAGAGTCAGAATGAGATATCTCCCTTACTAGGTCTTTGATGGTAGTATAGGACCATGTGTACTGAGATGGCACACATTGGTATTAGATAGGTTAATTGAACAAAATACAGTATCTAGAAACAGAATGAATATATAAAGATATATGACAAAGTTTTTTAATTTTTTAATACCAAGTACATTTGTTAGAAAAGAAGAAAGTTATGAAATATCCTCTTATCTTTCCTGAAGAAATTAGAAATAAAATAGAAATAAAAGGAATAACACCAAAAACAAATAGAAGGAAATAAAGATCAGAAGCAAAATAGCAAAGAAACAGTGTTGGAACAACTCAGCCAAAAGCTTTGGACTTGGAAAGGTGGTCAGACACCTTGGGAAAAGTCTGCCAAACTAACCTTACAGGCAGCAGGCCAGTTTAAGGTCAGTCTTTTATTCTCTCCTCCCACTGGCCCAAAATAAACTTGTCTTAGTTACTTTTCTCTCGTTGCTGGGACAACATACCTGACACCCAAAATGAAGGAAAGGTTTGTTTAGCTTACACTTTGTGGAGGTTTCAGTCCATACTCAGCTGGTTCCAAAACAGGGTGGCGTGGCTGAGGGGTAACAGTTCTGAAGCTGCCACAGATACTAAAAGTGGCAAAGGCATAATGCAAAAGGGAGGAGCATGCCCCTGTCTCTCCCTTAGATTGTATTCTAGCTCTTCACCCCAGGGTGGGTGCAGCGCACACACCACCAACGCCAGCACTAGACAGTGAACCAATCACAAACTTTACATTCAGCCGCCTTTGAAAGGCTTTGAGGGGGACATCTAGACACAGACCATAAGAAAATTGGTCTGGCCTTCTTTTGGCTTCTTGGTGATGTCTGGAGTTCCTTTACCAGGAGGCAAAGATTTTCTTCACTTTTATAATTCTGAGAGATAGAGTATTCAAAATGCATACACTTTGGCAGGGACTTTAGTTTATACCGAACATCTGACTAACTCCGTATTTTGAAATCAGTCGGGCAGATCCTGGGTTGGAGAAGGGGCATCACTTGTGGGGAGCCCACTTTCTCACTTAAAGTAGTGCCACCTGGTTGCCTCAAGTGGGCGCACGCTACACCTGGGGTATTTTTGTGGGTGGCTGGGCAGGAGCTCCATTCTGGGCAGCTAGCTTATATCTACCACTTATATATGTCTTTTACTGTAAAAACCATAGCAATCCTCCTCCTCCTCCTCCTCCTCCTCCTCCTCCTCCTCCTCCTCCTCCTCCTCCTTCTTTGTTATGGTACAAGGGCTTGAACCCAGGGAGTACTTTATCACTAAGCTATATCCACACCTTTTTTAAAAAATTTTGAGACAGAGTCTCCCTAAGTTGCCCAGGCCGGCCCTTAAACTGGCAAAACCCCTGCTTAGCTTTCTGAGTAGCTATGATCACAGGTGTGCATCCCTCTCCCTGGCTGTCCTTTACCACCAGAGAAAAGTCGCTTGCAGATTATCTCATCTCCACAAGGTAACCTCTAATTTCACAGAACCTAAGACGTAATCAGTAGCAAAAAGTAGGTTGCATAAAATTTTCTTCTACGTGACCCTGAGGTAGATTTGTTAGAAAATGCTTTACTATGATTTTTGATGATGCTTCTCCTAAATCACCCCAAATCCAGTGATTCCAGCTGGGGGGCAATGGGAAGCAGTGGGAGAAAGCTAGGATGGAGACCTGGGAACTTAACCTTGGAGCAGAGGCTGTATAAGTGGTTACCCGTATGTGGTGCCAGACCACTGTGGTTTCCAATCCTAGGTCTGGTTTTACTGGTCAGTAGCTGTGGGCCTTCCTCAAGACACTGAACTTTGATAAGGCTGAGTCTCTTCATCCATAAAGTGGATGCCTGTCTCTCTGAGCATTTTGTGAGGATAGATGGTGCCTACACCTACTGGGGGCAGCAAGGCTTGGGGTGATGTTAGCTTAAGAATTGGGTCCTGGCAAGGTCACAGGGAGAAACTGATCAGAGACCTGGGGAGGGAGGCCCTCCACGCACGGACCCTTAGGGACCTAGGTGCCATGGAGACTGAGGCAAAGGAAGTGGGCTGGTCATCAAGGCCAAGCTCTGCCCACCCTGTTCCTGACTCCATCCCCAGTGAGGTTGCCTTCTGCCTGCAATCAGGGTGGCAGGAAACTTCACATGAGTGCCTCTGACCTTCCTGCCCAGCCCTCTTGGGCTCAGCCCCCATGAAGACTTACTCTCTGCCACTGTGGCAATGCAGACCATAATACTTGCCAGGGACAAACTGATCTGTAGCCCTGAGCAGCAACAGTGGGCATCTTATGCAGGAGTCACTTAACGATGCCATAGCTTACAAACGTCTGGGAACACATCTCACCCAGATCACAACCCTGGAGGGTGACAAGGAGTCTTCACGTTCCCATCTCATGCATAAAAACAGTGAAGACTCAGAGAAGTTCAGTGTCTTTTGTGCAAGCTGCAAAGCCAACTGGGAGAGAAACCACGGGAGCCTTGGTATGAGAGACCTGTTCGTGGCCACGGTCTGAGTCACTTTCCTCATCACTGAGACAAAATACCAGACACCCAACGTGAGAGGAGGGAAGGTTTATTTTGGCTCACGGTTTGTAGAGGTTCTGGCTCCAAGGCACAGTGCACATGGCAGAGGGGCATCGCAGACAGGAACAGCACAGCCAAAACCAGCAAGCAGCAGCCTGCCTGCCCCTGTTACCCCTTCCAGGCTGCCCGCCTTTGGGTGGTGCCACCCACACCCAAGATGGGTCTTTCCGTTATCCAGAACTGTGCTAAGGCAGTCAGTGAACTAATTTAGTAATCACACACCCTTAATACCAGCATCTCACGTGCTAGGTCAGCCACCTCCCAAAAGCCACCTGGATGACCACATGGAGCTTTGGGGGGACATCTAGACACAAACCATAAGAGTCACTCACTAGCTGATGCCCTGAGATACTCCCTGAGCCTCCCAGCTAAAGGCAAGACTTTTGTTGTTGTTGATGATGGTGGTGGTGATGGTGATAATGAACAAACAGGACAATGAGGTGATGTCTGCATTTACTGTCTGATTATGGCACATGAAACACTGCCACATACTGGTTGGTTGCATGTACCCATCAGAGCATCTCTCTAGCTAGTCAGCATGATGCCCATTTCTCAGATGATGAGGCTGAAGGTTAAGTGCATTACCCACAGCCATGCAGCTAGCTTGTATCTACCACTTTAATATATGTCTTTTACTGTAAAAACCATAGCATATTCTTCTGATGTTTGCATGAAACTTTATTTCTACCAAGAAGACAGACAGGGAACCAGAAGGGATTAAAAGATCCTGTCAGTCATTTCGTAAGCACCTTCCTCGCTTGGGGACTTTGTCCTGCTCTCTCCCTTTGGGATACCACGAGCGCCTGCCCACCCTTTGGTTTCCTATGAAAGCAGGAACAAACCAGTTTGCCTACCCACTGATGAATTCTCAGTGTTCTGGCCTTGGGCTATGACTCATCACACACATTTGAATTTTATATTTTGGTCTATCGGTATGGAATGAAAACTTAAGAGTCTTTGAAGGCATGAATAGTCAATGAACATCATTGACTAATGGATCAGGGAAATTTAGGAGAAGGATGCAAGGGCAGGTGCTCTAGAAATCACAAGACATGCTCGGTTAGGACTAACCTGGCTGCCTACAACACTGAGGCCAAAATAGCAGTGGCATAAACTCAGAGGGTTGTATTTTTCCCTTACACACACACAGAAGAAGACAGGCTAGGACTGGCTTTCTCTTACCCTTCTGCCCCGTCACTGCCCTGAAGCATACTCATGGTCTCAAAAGGCTGCTGGTGCTCTGACCATCATGTCCATCTTTCAGTCAACACAAAGAAAAAAGTTGGGATCTCCCAACGTCTTCTTCAAGGGGATTTGAGAAAAGGGACTCCAAGTGGAGACCTCGCCAAGTAGTAGGAATACTGGGCTGATGCCCAGGAGTTCATGGCACCTATGACCTGCGAGAGTGGCACGGGAAACTCAGATGGACACGAAGGTGACTCTTGGTGGGTTTGTGGAGTTTGAGGTGTCACCTTACTCCCGGGCCTGGTGATTCTGTGAAGAGGGAGACCTCATCCCACAGGTGTCTCTGTTGGCTCACAGCTGCACGTGTCTTTTGTTAGCTTCGAACTAACAACCTTGTTGGTTTCGTCAACTCCGATGCACCCTGCATGCCCAGGGGGCTGCATGCGGCTTCCTCCCCCACAGCGTCTCCCTCTTGCCCTCCTGACCAGGTCCTCTGCCACCCTCCCTGGCTCTGCTCGCAGGCTCCGGCAGCCAGGGATTCAGGTCGCCGGGTCCTCTCTCCCCCTGACTCCTGCGGGGGTTTTAGCGCACCTCCCCTCCAGTTCCTCAGGATCCAGGACCCGGAGATGGAGAGCAGATAGCTGCTTCTCTCGGAACCCCAGCTGGGAGAAAAATGGGGTGCTGGCAGTGTCCTTCCTGCATCTGCTACAGATTGGACTTGCAGACTATCAGCTGACTGATGCTGATTGCAGACACTGGAGAACTAACACGACAGTGTCCTTCGGGGAATGCAATACAGTTAAGCTGGGCCCTGCTGCACTCTGTCCTTCCTGTTGGCTCCTTAGACTCTTGTCGTTTACCTTGGAAGAGGCAGCTAAGTGAAAATGCTGTTGCGGTACCTCCCGCACGTATGCCAGGCACCTCCCCGCAGCCTGAGCGAGACTGTGTCTGCAGATATGGTGCTAATGCCAGCACTTGCTTGATGGCGGAAGTGTAGGTTTTCCTGTGTCCTTGGTCTTCACAGTCAGCTGCTCTGTGTGGAGTGACCATTTATTGGAGACTGTCAGGGCAGTAATCCTAGCTACTCAGGAGGCTGAGGCAGGAGGGTAGTAAGTCCAAGGCCAGCCTGCCAACAATTGTGACCCCTGTGTCAAAAATAAAAAAAAAAAAAAGGTCTTGGGATGTAGCTCAGGAGTCAAGCATGTGCCTAGCATGTGTGAGGCCCTGGGGTTGATTTCTAGAACCATGAGAAAGAGAGGGAAAGGGAGATGGAAAGAGAGAGAGAGAGAGAGAGAGAGAGAGAGAGAGACGAGAGAGGAGGAGAGGGGAGGGGAGAAGGGAAGGGGAAAGGAAGGAATCCTAGATGGGTGCATCTGACTCAGTCATCCAGGTTCCTGAATGCCTGGGGAAAGTCTGAACTTCACCATGACTGCTTGCGGCCCCTCCACCTTGCTAGTCTCCATTCTTTACCTACATGGGTGGTTCCTCTTCGTTTCCCACTTGCTAGAACCTGAAACAGGAACAGCCCAGGCAAGGCTTTGTGGTGTTGTCGTTCAGCCCTTGTAGCTCTGATGTAAGACGCAGCCTCAGAAAGTTGCTCACAGATGATCAGGTGGCCTAGTGTGTTCATCAGCTGTTTGTCACTATAACAAAATACCTGAGACAGTTCACTTACAAAGAGAAAAGGTTATGTCAGCTCGCCATTTTAGAGGTTCCAGTCTGTCACCAAGTGGTCCTACTGTTCTGGGCCTGTAGTGAAGCAACATGTCGTGGTGGAAGCCTGTAGAAGCATGGTAAAGCAAAACTTTTCATCTCGAGAGGAAGAAGGGGGTTCACCCTTCATGGACACCTCCTCAGTGACCTACGAGGCTCCCACAGTATCCCAACTCTCAAGTGTTCTTCCTCTTCCTAACAGTGTTAGGGCCGAGCCTTTAATGTGTGGGCCTTTGCAGAACGTTCAGTATCCAAGCTGAAGCCCCGGGAGGGCATGATCTGAGACCACAAGGGAAGAGTTGTGGGGTGACCCAAACTCCCTGCGGAGGGGAGGAGAGTGGACTTAAGGGTGAGCTTGGGGTTGCCTAACCCTCTTATAGTTATGGTCTTTCTGGTGCCACCAAGTGGTTCACATTGCAGTCTTTTCTAGTTTGTCCCTAGTTCAGCCCCCAGCCCATCAATCCAAACCCCATGATAATCAGCAGGCTCTATTAACCCCAAGAGGCTGAAAGGGGATTTGAGGGGGGTCTTCAGGGAAGAGTTGGGAGGTTTGTCCAGTGATTTTTATGCTCCACTTGAGAATTGCTTGTGTCTCAGATATTCAGACAACCAGCTCGCTCTGGGCTAGGATGTGCTTGAAGGTACAGGCATCCCCCTAAATGTCTCCATTGACCAGGAAAATAAATAGTTACAGGGAATCCACGTGCCTAAGAGGAAACAGCCCCAGCTCTCCCTGTCCTGCACGCCAAGATACATAGGTGTCGGAATGTGAGAGGTTAAAACATTCCTCGTTGGGGCTGGGGATTTAGCTCAGTGGCATAAGCACCTGCCTTGCAAGCAGGCGGTTGTGAGTTCGATCCCTGGTACCGATAAAAAGGAAAAAAAATTAAAAAACAAACAAACAAAAAAAAATATTCCTCGTCCTGGAGGATAGGGAAGAGCAAGCTTCAGGGAGAAAGCAGTCAGCAGTGTCTACTAACAGTCCAAATACAGGGAGCACCGGGACAGAACTGAGCCAGTCTGGTGACTGGGAAGCCTCAAGAAGGCAGTGGACTTGGAAGGAGCAGCCTGGGGTGTTAGAAGAAGCCCGATGTGGATAGAGGGAGGGGACCTCACAGCCCACTGCTCCATCAGGGGTCACTTGGCTGCAGGTTCTGGGTCAATAAAGGCAGAGTTGAGGGTGAAGGTCGGGGTCAGCGAGGGGTGAGTTACTCATTAAAAACTACGAAAAGGATCAAGCGTGTGGCTCAGTGGCGGAGCATCTGTCTAGCATGTGTGAGGCCCTAGATTTGAGCTCTGGCCCTGGGGAAAAAAAATTGTGGGAGAAAAGAGAAATAAGGTCAAGGGAGGATTCTGCTTGTGTCTTCTGAGGGGGAGGCTGGGGGGAATATCCGCTTGTCTCTGCTGCAGTATTATTTTGAGGGGCCAGAGGGGGCGTTGAGGGTGGCTTTTGTCTGCAGTGTGTGGGATGAGCCACCAGAGGGTGTCCAGATCCTGAGAGCAACAGCCTCTGAGGATTTTGCTAGCAAAATAGACGGAAGCTTTGCCCCTAACGGTGGGACAATCCCGAAAGCCAAACATCACACAGCAGGCAGACGATCAAAGCAAACAGGTCACAAGTTAGAAGAGCATGATTTGGTAATGTTCGGATACTTCACAGAGAGCCAGCGCCAGGCAGGACCGCAGCCCCAGTGGGCATGGGAGGCCAGGCAGAGACACAGAGGTTCGAAGCTGGTGGCCTGGCTTCAGCTGAGTCTGGGCAAAGGGACTGAGGACCGCCTGGCACACACCTCACTGCAGGAAGATGCCAGTCTGTGGGCAGAGCAATGTCGGGGACTGGAAACAGCTGGGCAGGGTGCGACTGGCAGCCCCCTGCGCCTGGGGCCTCCCTCTCCTGATGCTCTGCCCTAAGTCTCCAAGAAGGGAAACATTCCAGGGTGTTGGAGCTGGGAATCATAGATGCTCAGAGGCCTTGGAGGCCACCGCTCCATGCTGCCTCTTACAGGGAGGAACTGAGGTCCTGGAGTAAAATGACCTGTCTAGCTCTGTGCCCAGGACCACACAGAGAAGCCAGCTCTTGGCCTGCATCCCAGCCTTCCCTGCTGGCTGCCGTGACCTATGCAGCTCCTGAGGTTCTTGGGGTTAAGGACGGTGAGAGGATGAGAAAAATAAGAGACAGAGCTGGGGTCAGGTGAAGCCCTTCTCCTGATGGGAGGAAAGGAACTGGCTCCTCACTGCAGGGCCATTTATTTATACCTTTTAGCAACTTAATGTCACGTGACGCCCCGTTATCCTAGCAACCCACTGCTCAGATTGTCTTGGGGTCATGTGTTCTCCGGGCTGAAGAGCTTCTCCCTGTGGCTTGTCCGCAGGCACTCTCTGTTCTTGGGATGGTCATGCTCCAGCCTTGCACATGTGGTCAATTTCCAGCTTCAGTGGCTCCCAATAAGTGGCCCCACGCAGAGTGGCTGTGGGCGAGCCTTTGGAAGGGAGAGCAGCCAGAGGTGGAGGAGACCCCAGGGAGAGCGGCGAGGCTCAGCATGGCCTTGGGGGCCGGAGGCTGCGGTCATGAAGGCTGGGGCATTACTGGCACTGGACACACCAAGGGCCAAACAGCAGCCCTTTTCCCCAAGGTCATCGGGAACCTCATCATCTCATTTCTGGCCTGGTCATCTGGGCTCATGAACGCTTTCTCTTTGTCCTTGGCCCACAGGAATCTCCTACCAACGACTGGTGAGAGCTGAGCAGGGTCTGCCCCTCAGGAGTCACCGGAGTTCCACTGTGTGAGTGTCCAGGCAAGGGATAAATGGGGCAAGGGCCTCCCACCCCATCCTGGTGCCCAGTCCTATGCCAGGTATAAAATGCCAGGCTTCAAGGAGACCAGGTAGGCCCTGGAATTATGAGTGGTGTCTGTATGCACAACTTCACTGCTCTGGGCTGTGCATCTTCCTGCACATCCTGAAAAAGATCGGCAGCGATCACGCCGAGGGCTGGGCACACATTATGCATTCATTTGTGCATTCCAGATGAGGAAACTGGAGGTCAGAGAGGCCACGGAACTTCTCCAAGGTCACACAGCAGCCGAGCAAACATTTCAATCTCTGTTCTTACCCAGAGGCCTATGCTCATGCCATAGAGTCTTCTGTTATTGTAATAGCATTTGCCAGCTGTTTCTGAACCTATAATTAAAAATGCATTTTGTATGATAGTCTGGCATACACACACGCACCCCCCCACACACACAGCTAAACAAGTTTCATGGAATGAAATTCAGTGCCACCACCTAGGACAGGCACTCTGCCCTGATCTACTCATTTTATTAAATAACACATTCTGGCTGAGCCTTCCCAGACTGATCGCATTACCCACTCCTAGAGTACTGGCCTGCCGTATGAAGAGCAAGAGAAAAAGTCCCGTCCTGAGGCCCCTCTGTATGGGTGCTGTCTATCTGTGTCCCGTTGCATGTTCGGAGCCCCAGGAACCCGTCTCCACCGGCTCAGAGATTTTAGCAGCCCACCCTTCGCCCTCCACAGCGTTGGGGGCTCAGTGCACAGCCACACACTGAGTAGGTGCTTCTGAGACCCTTGAAACACTCCTAGGTGAGGGCAAGCGAGCAAGAAAGCCTGGGCTAGGTGTCAAGAGGGCAGGAAGGACATAAATCACTGTACAGCATCCCCTCTTCCCCACTGGGGACACGTTGACTGAAACCATGGATAACACCAAGCCCCACGTAGAGGGGTGATCGCAAAATATAGTGAATGTTTGACCAGTTTTAAACTTATCACAGTAACAGATACATTGCCAGGAGCAATGCAATAAGTATGTTCAAAGTCAGGGGCTTCGTGGTGATGTACCTTTTGCTGAAATAATTTTTTTAGCTTTTTTTTTAGAGTAATAGGTATCATAGTATATTTCATTATCTTTACAATAGTTGTTCTTTCAATCACGTATATCAAAATAGAATGAAATACAGAACATTATAGAACTTATCAAATCAGAATATTGAATAGAGCAGTACCATTAATCAGAATACAGCAAAACAGTAATAAAAATATTTGCCTTCAAAGAGCTGGTAGAAGGAAATCTCCCTTATTTGCTATGGTCAGCCTCCCAGGAGATGCTCAGATCTCTGGCTCCCATTTGCTAATGGGGGGACAGGGGAAGGGGGCAGGGGAAGTGGGATGTTTGACTCTAGGCCAGTAGGCTCACTATTGCTTAGCAGGGAGGCAGGCTGGCTGCTTGGTGTCCCAGCGTCCTAAGTTCCAACATGGCGCGGATCTCTGGAGACACTGGTGGTTGGTTCTCCCCCTGGAAGGGCCGCCTGCTGAAATAATTTGAAACTGTCAATATTCAGTATATTTTTTATTATCCTTCAGGTTCTAAGAACTTTCACCTTTTCGTGTAATTCCTCTTCAGTGTATCTGAAACGCCAGCGGCATTCCTCTTAAACTTTGGGGTCCTTGTGAAGTAGAATAAGGATTACTCGAGCCCACCTCAATCGATGTGACATTGTGACTAAGGAGTGGGCTGTGTACGCACGTGGACAAGGGGGATGGAGCACCTCTGCCGAGACTCCCCCACACAACTCAGAGTGGGGTGCTGTTTCAGACTGATGGCTTGTTTATTCCTGGGGGTTGCCATTTCACATTTTCAGACCATGGCTCACTGCAGGAAACTGAAACCTTGGCTAAGGGGCACTTCTGCATTTAGCAGATTTAAAGGTGCCGTTAGGGAGCCGGGCAGATGGGCTGGTAAGGAATCACCAACACCCATCAGGCAGTTACCAACGCTGGGCACTGTTCTTACCATCCTTAGGTAGGACACTTTTTTAAACCTCAAGTTAGCTCTTAGAGAAAGGTGTTTTCCATGTAAGGGAGGTGAGTGGAAGGGTGGAGAGTTTTTTTTTTTTTTTATCGGTACCAGGGATCCAACTCACGACCGCCTGCTTGCAAGGCAGGTGCTTATGCCGCTGAGCTAAATCCCCAGCCCCAGGTGGAGAGTTTTATAATCTGTAAACTGGATATGAAGACAAGGTCTTTAGCAGAGGACTCGAGCAAGTCAGCGAGGGCGGGGCTTGTCTAGCCTGGTCCTACCTGCATGCTCAGCACAAGTCCAGGAGATGTCCTCAAGTGCTCAGCAAGGGAAGGGGCTCCGCCTCCTTTGTCTCTCAGATGGAGAGATCAGAATCACCCCTGAGGGCTCCAACTTGCTCTGAGGTCGCACAGTGCTGGTGGGGGTGACAGGGAATGAGAAGGCTCATGTTGTTATCTGGTCCCGGCAGCTTGGGCGTCACAATTCTCTTAACATTTAGGTAGGTTTGAAAGTGCTCATAATAAAGAAATTTAAACACTGGCACCAAAAGGGAATCTGTAGCTCCAGCAGGAAGGGCAGTGGAGCAACACTGTCCTCCCAGCTTGATGCTGGCCTGCTTTGGGCTAATTCAAAAGGTGTTCCCAGGAGCGGAGGAACCAGGTGCTACCTGGTGCCATGAGGAATTCTAGCACACGCACATGCAAAAAGCGCGCGCGCACACTTCCTATGAAATGGTTACTTGCCTTCAAGCCTTTAATTAAACTCTTTTGAGTAATTTGCATTCACTCGGATGTCCAGGAGGAAAAGATGTTTATATAAAAAGAAGGGTAAAACGCATTTTAAAAAATAAGCCTTAGTTTTGAAAAGGTCTTTGAAAGCTCCCCCTGGGAAATACTGCGAAGGTAACTTCAAGTGTCTCCCTTGGAAAGCGGCCCCTCTGGCCTTTCTCCTGGCGTCCTGCTGTCCCTTGCTCAGGCCCTGCTGGGGTGTAAGGATGTCCGGGCCATGTGGCTACACCTTGGCCTGCAGCCTGTCCCCAAGTCCCATCCTGCTTTTCTGTGTCCTCAGCACGGTACTGTTGCTGAATCCAGTGGAGGTGGAGGCCGAATTCCTTGCAGTGGCGGACAAGCTGAGTGCACCCGAGCACTCACCCCACAGTGCCTATACTACCTTGCTCCTGCATGCCTTCCAGGCCACCTTCGGGGCCCACTGTGACCTCCCAGGCCTGCACTGCCAGCTGCAGGTAGGGATCTGGGGCCCTGACCAGGCACTTCTTCGGGGGCAAGCCTTCTCTCCACCCCACCTTTGCTGCCACCTCTGGTGTGCCCTGACCTCCCTCAACCCAAGGGTCCTGGCAGTGGTTAGAGGTCACAGTCGGGTGACAACCTGGGAGGTGGGGCTGGGGCCTGAAGTCTGATGCCTCAGAAAGGACTTAGCATGAGAGCAGAAGTGAGCTTTGAGTGGAGGCCTGGGTACTCGTCCTGGTTTTGTGATCAATAAGCCGTGTCCCCTGGATAGCCCCTTCCCCTCCGCAGTGCGCTGCTTCTGGGCCCTTCTCTCCTGACCATTTCCCGAGAGGACAGAAGAGGGAGGGGGAGGCCCAGCTCCTGGAAGGCCATCAGAGAGGTAGGCAGTGAATGAGGCCGAGTACCAGACTGGTCGCTGCTGCTCTTGGTGAGACCCTGGAAGCTGACCGAGGCCGGCAGCCAGGCCACAGGACATGCATGAACCTTGCCTCCTCCTGGGCTTTCAGTCAAAGACCCTGGAAGAGCTCGAAGACATCTTCACGGAGACGGCAGAGGCGCAGGAGCTGGCATCCAACATCAGGGATGCAACGGAGGCCCGGCAGTGGCTCAAGACAAAGCTGCGGGCGGTGGGAGAAAAGGCTGGCTTCCGTGGGGTCTTGGGTGAGGCTCTGGGGACAGGGAGCCCTCTCCAGTTTGTCCGCCCCCGAGTGTGCAGTCCAGTGGGCTTGGAGACTTGTTCCCCGCTGCCTACCAGGTTCTAAGCTCCTCACCATCCCATTGTGCCACCATCCCCAAGGTGTCTGTCCTGTCTGCAGGTGCAGGCTGTGGACACACAAACGGACAGGGCTTTCCAGGGGCACAGGACCTGGGGGCGTAGATGAAGACATCGCAGAAGCTGCATACCCCCTTTCTGCATGCTTACCTTAGAGCTCGTCTCTGTCACATGCCACCTCTTGGCCCAAAAAGAGCTGGGAAATGTTCTTTCCACTACAAAATGAAAGAGCACAGGTTCTGAGGACCAGTTAGTAGTTCCTGTGCTATTTCTTACAGAATCCTTGTAAGATAGTTCTGTTCTGGGGCTGGGGATTTAGCTCAGCGGCATAAGCACCTGCTTTGCAAGCAGGCAGTCGTGAGTTTGATCCCCGGTACCGATAAAAAGGAAAAAGACAAAAAAAAAAAAAAAGGAAGATAGTTCTGTTCTGTCATGTGAACGTGGTAAGATGCTGTTCAGAGGCTCTGGGTTGGCCATCTCCCCAAAACTGGAAAAGGGCCTGCCACACACATGGCATGCCCCAAAGAAGGCCCTCCAGCTGGGAACCAGGCACCCTGGCTCTAACTCCTGCCCCACCCCTGTGCATTAACAGACACTGCAAACCCTGGGAAGCTCCGCACCATCCCCATCCCTGTGGCCAGGTGCTACACCTACAGCTGGAGCCAGGACAGCTTTGGTAAGGAGTGGGCTGGCCCTGAGCGCACCCAGCCCCACAGTGCCCAAGTTGTTCTGGCCCTCTCACTCCCACACACTCCCGGAGCAAAGCAGGGCCACCCTGAGTCCTGTGCTGGCCCTGAGCCCTGTCTTGCTCTTCCTCAAGCCTGCAGGTGCCCATTGTCCTTCCTAGGCAGTCCAGGATCACCCACCGAGACAGTGCCCTTGTCTCCCTGTAGACATCCTGCAGGAAATCCTGCTAAAGGAGCAGGAGTTGCTCCAGCCAGGGATCTTGACAGATGATGAAGAGGAGGAAGAGGAGGAAGAAGAGGAGGAGGAAGAGGAAGAGGAGGAGGAAGACTTGGAAACCCACGGGCACCGTGCGGAGAGAGACTCTTTGCTCTCCACCATTTCTTTTGCGTCTCACGACTCCACACTGTCCCTTGCCTCTTCCCAAGCCTCAGGGCCAGGACTGTCGCGTCACCTGCTGACCTCCTTTGTCTCAGGCCTCTCAGACGGCATGGACAGTGGCTATGTGGAGGACAGTGAGGAGAGTTCCCCTGAGTGGTCCAAAAGTCCTGGCCGTGAGGGGCACCGGGGCCACCGCAGGCCCAGGCAGAAATTCAACAGGATCTATAAACTCTTCAAGAGCACCAGCCAGCTGGTGCTGCGGAGGGAATCCCGGAGCCTGGAGAGCAGCTCGGACACAGCCACAGCGCTGCCCCTGCGGCGAGCGGGGAGCCTCTGCAGCCCCGTGGAGAGTCCGGTGCAGCTCCACTCCCGGGCCCAGCGCTCACGTTCCCTGCCCCAGCCCCAGCTCAGCACCCAGCTGCCTAGCTGGCTCCTGGCCCCCTCTTCATGCCACCAGCGCCGCCGCCCCTTTTTAAGTGGGGACGAGGACCCCAAGGCGTCCACACTACGGGTTGTTGTCTTTGGCTCTGATCGGATTTCAGGGAAGGTGGCTCGGGCATATAGTAACCTCCGGTAAGAGCCATTAAGTCCCGCATGGATCGGATCTGTGTCGTGGGGTTGTGCGTTGGAAACGGAGGCCTGAGGCTTCAGGTCTGAGTGACCCAGGGTTCACATCGCCACATCTTACCTTTGCAGGAGGCTGGAGAACACGCGCCCCCTTCTCACTCGGTTCTTTAAGCTTCAGTTCTTCTACGTGCCTGTGAAACGCAGCCACAGTGCCAGCTCTAGTGCCTGCCCGTCCCCCTCAAGCAAGACATCCCCCCTCCCCACAGACTCCCCGAGACACCCCAGCCCTACAGTACGTCCCCAGCCGTGGGCCAAGTGGAGTGGGTGAGAGGGCTTCCGGGAACCTAGAGGGGGCTGGGCAGGAGCTGTCAAGGACAGTCCCCTAGGTCTGCAGGTACCTCCTCTGCCTATGCTGACCCCCAGGTCCCTGCCCTGTACGTGGGCATGACATTCTGCCATATGACAAGGACTGGAAATTGTCACCCTCCTCCAAGGGCAGAGAGAAGCTCACTTTGGGGCTGCATTTACAGTGTCAGTCCTGCAGCTGGGATGGCCGGACCTCCTGGGTAGCTAGGAATGGCTCTCATCATCTGTCTCAGGAGCTGGACACGGGCCCATGGGAGGACAGTACCAATGACATCTCCCACTACCTCGGCATGCTTGACCCCTGGTATGAGCGCAACGTGCTGGGCCTCATGAACCTGCCCCCTGAAGTCCTGTGCCAGGTCAGTGGCCATCGGGTTGGGTTGGAGAGCCTGCTGACCGCTGTCACTCTGCCTCACTTAGAAAGCACTGGCTTTGGGGGGACCCTGCTTGAGGCCTCATTTGGGGAAAAGCCCGGAGGGTAGGAGATGCAGGATAGAGAGTTTAAACTCGAGGTTCCGGGGACAAGACATGGTCACTAGAGTGACAGGAGAGATCCTCAGAAGGGTTCCCTGAAGCTTCGATTTTGGCTTCCTTCCTCGACTTCTGGACTGTCCAGCTTGTCCAGGGGCCTCTTGGGGGACTGCATGCCAAGGAGGGGTAAGAGGGACTTCCCTACCCGCACCCCTCTCCTGCCTCCATCTCACCTCTCTCTCCCGGCTCGGCCCCTCTGCTCCTTCCCTCTGGCCTGGTCCCTCACCGGCCACAGCACTCCCTGAAGGCTGAACCCAGGCCCCTGCAGAGCCCCTCTGCCCAGCTGCCCATCCTGGCCGACATGCTGCTGTATTACTGCCGATTTGCCGCGCGGCCGGTGCTCCTGCAGGTGTATCAGACAGAGGTAAGGCCGGGAGACTCGCCAGGTGCCAGCTGTGCCTATTCCCATCCCCTGGTGTCAGTCACGCTGGAGAAGCCACGCGAGTCCCGAGAGATACCCACTGACGCTTATGCTCCTTTCCTCTCCAGCTGACCTTTGTCACTGGGGTGAAGACCACGGAGATCTTCATCCATTCCCTGGAGCTGGGTCACTCTGCTGCCACGAGAGCCATCAAAGCTTCAGGTGGGCACTGCCTGGGGTGGAGGCGGAGCCAGGGAGGGGCGGGGACTCTTGGGGGCGGGGCCTGAAAGGGGCGGGGAAAGGGAGTGTCCTAGGGAGGCGTGGTTACAGGGTCTGAGCGCCTGCAAAGGAGAGCGAAGAGCTTGGTTGTTTGGCACAGGTCCTGGCAGCAAGCGGCTGGGCATCGATGGCGACCGGGAGGCCGTCCCTCTAACACTACAAATTATTTACAGCAAGGTAAGACCAGTTCGCGTCTCCTTCCCTGATCCTTCCTCCGCCAGAGCTGGGGCCCAAAGGCTGCTCCTATGGTCCTGTGCCCTGCAGCAGGCCCTTGCCTGAGTGCTGAGAGCAGGTAGCTAGGGAACAGGCGTCTCCGGCTTTGGCCTCCAAGCAGAGGCAGCAGGCGCCAGGGCTGAGGGTCTGGCTGCTGCATTCCAGGGGGCCATCAGCGGAAGGAGCCGCTGGAGCAACGTGGAGAAAGTCTGTACCTCCGTGAACCTCAACAAGGCCTGCAGGAAGCAGGAGGAGCTAGGTGAGCGGGGCTGCGGGAGCAGGGGGCTGCGTGGGTGGCAGCAGGGAGCCGTCCCGAGCCTGGCCTGAGCCGCCCTTGACCTTCAGACTCCAGCATGGAGGCCCTGACGCTAACCCTGACAGAAGTGGTGAAAAGGCAAAACCCCAAGTCCAAGAAAGGCTTTAACCAGGTAAATGTTTAACTTTCCCCCCAACAACACCCTCCTGCACGTGCGTGTGCATGTGCGTGAGTGTGTGTGTGTGTGTGTAGGTATGCGTGTGTGTATATATGTGTGAGGAAGAGGTGGAGAGGGATGTCCAAGGCCTGTGGATGGGCCAGGAGAGGCACATGAATTAGTGGACTACCGCAGGGTAGCACAGGAGGAAGGGGTGTCTTGTGAGAGGACACCTATGTGCAGAGGCTTGGTGGTGACCACTAGGAGACCCCTGAGTCCAGAGAAGTGTGGGCTCCGTGGTAGGAGCCCCCGGGCTCTGACAGCAGGCACACACAGTGCAGTCTCTTCTGGGGCTTGATTCTTCCAGACTCTGGAAAGAACAGAGACCAGAGTGAACTCGGGGCCAGATGGAGGCCTCCAGGCTGTTCCCAGACCTGGCCGTTAGCCTCGAAGCACTGCCAGTCTAACCCTTGCCCCAGTCCCCCAGAGCAGCTCTGAGGGAAGGAACCACCAAGGTGTGGCTGTGTTCTGTGGTTAGGGCTCGGGTTTGACGCTGCTGTTCCTTCCAGATTAGCACGTCACAGATCAAAGTGGACAAGGTGCAAATCGTGGGCTCTAGTGGCTGCCCCTTTGCTGTGTGTCTGGATCAGGATGAGAGGAAGATCCTGCAGAGCGTGATCAGGTAGGAAAGGGGGCCCTGGGTTGGCTTTAGCACGAGGGGTCCAGGAGGGAGGCCCGTTTCTGTTTCTCCTGCTCCGGAGTCCTGGAGGGGCTGGAGGAGGGTCTGTTTGTGCACACCCTTGCCTTGCCCCGCAGGTGTGAAGTGTCTCCTTGCTACAAGCCAGAGAAGAGAAGCCCATCACCCCAAAGGCCTCCCAACCCACCGGCCCAGGCTGCGCCTGACTTCTGCTCCCTCCTCTGCCTGCCCATCATGACTTTCAGTGGGGCTCTGCCCTAGCTGGCACTGGCAGTGGACTGACAGGAAGATCCTTCTCTAGGACAGTGACTCTGGAAACCGAGTGGCCCATGCTGGGTCATGGTCTCTCTCTAAGTGTACAATAGACCCATGAGCGTGGTGGGAGATCATTTCTGGGGCCTCAGACATCTGGGAACAAAGTAGGCATTAGGAGAGTGTAGCCTGCCCCCGTAGCCTCTCAGACTCCTTTTAGTAGAGGAAGAAAGACAAGTTGGCCTGCACAGGGTGCTCTGGCCTAGTTAGGCCTTCTCTCCCAGGCCTAGGCAGCACCCGGCCTTACCTTGCCAAAGACTTGGCTTCTCTCTTTGAAAATCAGTCGTCTGTACTCTGGGACACAAGTGGGAGAGAGATGGATGAATCTTTTCTTCCCTGACTCAGTACCATCTTTTCACTTCCCACATCACCTCTCTGTCTCTCTCTCTCTCTCTGTCTCACACACACACACACACACACACACACACACACACACACACACTCAGGTTCCCTGCGACCTCTGACAAAGCAGCACTAACACTGGACACAGGTGTTGTCAGGAACTCCCTCGAACCTCTTTCTGGGTCTGAGCTTCTGGGAGCACAGAGCAGGCACATACCTGGTCGCAGCTGAGTCGCTTTCTAACTGAGCGGCCAGAGGAAGTTAATGAAATTCTTCGAACCTTTATTTCCTGAGCACTAAAAGGAGAGGGAAGTAAGACTTCCTTACAGTGTTGAAACTGCACACCAGGCACCTCGCCCAGTGCCTCTCTCCTGGCTCAGCAAAGATTGGCGTATTGCCCTCCAATGCAGAGTCCTCTCTCCCTGGTCCCAGGGACACTCCCTGCCTCTGGCATGCTGGTCACTCACTCCTTCCCAACCCACGAGGCCGAACTCAGATTAAGAGACTAAGGGGTGACCAGTTGTAGCTTCCAAAGAAGGAACTGTACTTGGCAGGGGCAGGGAGGACCACTCAGGTGCTCCACTGCCATCCCTTCTCCGTCAGACTCATCCCGTTGCTCCCTCTCCCATTTTTGGGCACACTGTGTACACAATTGCAGACCACACGAGGTCACTGGCACTGTTCTGGCACCTGGGCAAGATCTCAGATGGCTAAAGGATGGAGGGACTGAATCATAAGCTTTCTTAGTGGCTGATACATGAGACCCGTGCACAGGAAACGATTAGCATGATAAGACATGAGAGTCCAACATTTGAAGCTACCACGCTGGCTTGGTTTGAGGGGTTGACACACAGGGGAGAGGGCAGGACCAGGATTTGGGCCAGTCCATGTGGGGAAAGTGATCATGGAAACAATCCTAGTTTTTGCACTGGCCCCACCTCCTGTCTTCTGATTCATTCTTCTCAAACGGTCCCAGGCTTATAGGAGCCCCCAAAATCCTACACTAGAGTACTCAGGATTTGAGATGAGTAGACAGATCTGCTGTGTCACCATTCCCCTGTCCCAGCCATCTGGAAGAACCATCAGCCATGTAACTTTATCCTTTTTTTTTTTGTGCAAACTACTACTACGTGACCAATAAATGTACAGCAATCAATGTATGAAATTTAATGTTATTGTCAAATAAAACTTAATTTTTCTTGTATTTAATGACCTACCATCAGTTTGCTGCTCATTTAATTACTAGCTGGGCAATTTACATAAATCATTTCATACCTAACAGAACTAAGATTCTCGGAATATTGTTCTGTTTTTATAATTTTCCACTTTATAAAAAATATATTTGTGTAGTGTTTTATTCAAGCCTCCCTGACACACACTGACAAAAGGTCCTATCCCTAAGGACTCAGTAGTTGAGTTTTCTTGTGTAACTTCACCTGAGAAATGTAAGCCTGCGTATACAGCAGTCTCTGCTCCACAGTACCAGCGAGGGGATAGGCTTGAGGGTGCACTATTGCTGGATGGACAGACAGCCCTGCACCTGCCATGCAGGTGAGGGGAAGGGACGAGAGCTCGGCAGTGGTCCTCCATTTTTGACCTCTCTTTTACACCTGGGTCAAGGGAAGGAGAAAAGCACAGGTATTGGGGTAGTGGGGGGGGGGGGGTCCTGTGACCTGGGAGAGGTGGGTAGGTACCAGGTCCCAGAGCAATTGCTTGTGACAGAGCAGGAACCAGCTCTGCATCAGCTAATTGTTGACAGCAACGAAACCACTAAACTCAGTGGGTAAAGCTCCGAACACTTGCTCTTGCCCACGTATCTATCTACCTGAGAGCTAGGAATCACGGGATCTAGGTTGGGCTTAGAGGGGGATCCAAGATGCAGGGTGGGTCTAGATCCGCTCTGTGGGTCTCTCAGGGACCTCAGGCCAGCATGCTAGAACAAGTGGGCGAACAGACATGTGATCCCTCCAAGGCTGGTGCTGGAGTCGGGGGAACATTGCTTCTGCCTTTACCCAGCTGGCCAAAACTGACAAACACATCCACCCCTAGATCTGATAAGCTTGTTCCAGCTCACACAGGGCCGAGCAAATGACAGGAGAAGAGCACTTCAACTCGTATTATTCCAAAGCCTCCTAACCTCAGTTGACTCATGAGAAAAACCTCAGCCAGACCTTGGTTGTGGGATATTCTACAGCATGACCCAGGCAGAGTCAGGAAAGATGAGACGACTCTGAAACTCACGTACCTAGCAGATTGGGAAAGCCTGAAAGATAAACACACTATGCAATCCTGGATTGGATCCTGAGACAGAAGACAAAGTGGCAAAACCCCAGTTAGGTTTGGAGCTAAGTCTTTTAAAATTCACAATCTCATTGTCAAGTTCCTGAGGAAGAAAAATTCACAATCTCATTGTCAAGTTCCTGAGGAAGAAAAAAAGTATAGAGAAAAATCTTAAAAACAGCTAGAGAAAAATAAAATTCCAACAAGTTATCTAAGAGTTCTTTTCTCTCGGGAGACAACGAAATGAGATCTTTAAAGGACTGAAGAAAAAATTGCCAACTTAGAATTCTACACCAAGAAGTCACTTCTAATTCCATTTTAAATTATATACTGCTCACAAGAAACACTCTTCAAATGAAGGCTTACTCAGAGGTGGAGAGCAAAATAGTGGAAAGTGAAAGGGTTTTGGCCCAGACAGGACACTGTAGCCAGGAAAACCTCAACCGGAAGCAGGAAGCCCTATCTCCCCTGCTCCTAGGAAGTTACCTGTGACCGCCATCTTCCTGCCCCTGGAAATTTACATATGGTGCCAAACCTAGGACCAGTGGGCTACCTGTGCATCCCTAATGCCCGCCTTAGGTTCCACTCCAAACCGAGGCTATTTACAGGCCCCCACGCCACGTGTCCGCTGGAGAGATCGCCGGAGGCCAGCAGTGGGGGTGCCGGTCATCTCTCTCCGTGTTCTCAGAATAAAGGCCGCTTTTTATTTTATACTTCTCATCTTTTGGAAATATTTTTCATCTTTTGGAAATAATCCTAGCAGAAAGGATGATACGAGGCAAACTTGATGCTGTTACACTAATGTCAGGCAAGGATTAAGCCAAGAAGCATTAGAAAAATAGTGAAGGACATTTCATAAAGAGCAAGGAGTCAGCCCAACAGGAAGACAGCAGAATTAGAAATCGGCATGCACCTAATAACGGAATTAAACTGTGTGAAGCAAACACTGACCATGTTAAAGGTCTCCACAGCCATAGTGAAAGACTTTAACAAACCTCTCTTGATAGCTGATAGAGTAGAGGTGAAGAAGATCTAAACAATACAGTTAATAAATTGATTTCATTGACACAGAACACGGTGCCCAACAACTCACATTATTTTTAGATCCAGGTAGAATATAAAATATTGAATAATAGAAATCAAATATTTTTTTCTATGATTGCAATGAAATTTAAAGTACCAGTAACACAAATATTACAAGAAAATCCCAACTATATAAACACTGACATTTTAAAATAATCCATGGGTCAAAAAAAGAAAAATCAAAGCTAGAAAATATTTTGAATTGGTTGATGAGACACGATATTGAAACTAAGGAACTAACACAATGCTTAGGAGGAAATTTATGCTGGACATAAATGGCCATCAAGGGTGGCACATGCCTGCAATCCTAGCACTCACGAGACTGAGGCAGGAGGATCGCTGTGCGTTCAAGACCAGACTGAACTACATAGTGAGATCCTGTCTTAAAAAACAAAACACAATTGTTACTCTCCTACAATTTTATTTTGAAATTCTGTACCATTGTTTTTATTGTTTTTCTTTAAAATAAAATTTTTAAAAAGAAGGAAACTTATTCCCATAAGAAACATTATATTATAAATCAATCCTTTATATCTCAAAAGAAAGCTAGCAAAAAAGCAATACATGGATGTTATAGAAAGTAGAAGCGAAGAATTAAGTATTACAGCTGAAATTACTGACCTAGAAAAGCAACATACTAATTAATAAAGAGCCCTAGCAAGGCTCATGCAAGGAGAGAATTACCAATACGGTGAATGAAAAAGAAGATGTGTCTACAGATCTTAAAGATATTAAGGGTTAAGAGAAGTTTTACAAACAACTAAACAAATCGATTTGACAATTTGGATAAAATGGAGAAAGGGATCAAAAAGAATTTTCTACTTGAGAGAAAAAATGAAAATTCTAAGTAATTCTTTCCTTCTCTATAAACACGGTATTATTTCCTTCTTTCTTTCAAGTTTCTGTCTTTCATTTTCTATAGTTGTAATATTTCTAGATATCAAAGTTTTTAGGGATGGTATTTAACTATATTGAGTTAGCCCTCAAACTCTTGGGCTCAAGAAATCCTCCTGCCTCTGCCTCTTGAGGTGCTGGGATTATAGGCCACACTGCCCCAGCTGGCTACAGATTTTTTTGGATCCTTTTTGTCTTTTTTGGTGTTCTTAGAGCTTCCTGGATCTGTGGTTCAGTGTCTGAGTTATGTGTATGTAAATACCCTTTGTAGCTATCCCACGGTTCTAGAATAGTCTCCATTATCTTTCTTATTGAAGATCAGTTTTGGAAGTTCCTGTTAACATTCCTTCAAGGTCACTGACTCTCTCTCGGTGAGACACAGTTTATTGATTAGCCTTCAAAGGCATTCTCCATTTTTGCTCCAAGCTTTAGATTCTAGTAGCTCTGATGGATTCTGTCTTAGAGTTTCCATTGGACGGCTTACATTACTGCATGAGCTTTTTACTGATGGCCCCCTTTTTCTACTGAAGTTCTTCTCATGCTAATTTAGTGAAGTTTCCAATCTGGTGGTTATAAGATCCTGGTCATTTTTGAGGCTGGGTCTGACGCCTCTTTTTTTTTCAGTCTTTTTATACTGATTTTTGTTGTTGATGCTGCTGGTAGTGTTGCTTGTTTGTCATTTAGTATACCTTGTAGGTTTTTGTTGAAAACCAACTTGGTGTACTGGCTTTGAGGAACTGAGATAAACGGGCCTTTAGCATGAAGTTTGATGTATGTCTGGATAGCAGTGAAGCCGTGTTCACTGATTGCCATCGCTGTAGGTGTCAGGGGCTGAAATTTCTCTGTGTCCTTTGTTACTCAGGTTGTACAAGAACCCTGTTAATGTGGTGGTAAGAGCCATGCAAGGGGGGGGGAGGGTGCTCCACAGTCCTGTGATTAGGGTTTGGCCTTTCAGAGAGCCTGTGGCCCTAGACTGTGACCTGCAGGGGAGCTTCTCAGTTTTTCCTTCCTACGTGACACAGGATGGCTAGGGAAGGCTGCTGTTGGATCCTTCTTCCACAGGAGGTCTATAGTGGCCTGAATTCAGAATTTCCCCTCCTCCAGACCAGTTGGTTGGCTAAAATCCCAGTTAGGCTTTGGTCCAATAAGCCTTGGTAAGGGGCCTATTTCACAATGACTACTTTCTTTCTGCCAGTGCTGGAATCATCAGGGAATTTTTCTCTGATCTTGACCAAATGGACCTTGTAGAGTTCCTAAAGTAAAACTTCCAATCATAGGGAATCCTGAACGGGTCCCCCTGAAGTTTGTACCTCTCAACTTGTCCACAGGGAATTTCCAGTCTTACCAAGTACAGTTCAAACTGGTACGTGTGGAGGTTTCTGTTCTTGGTCTTCACTCCACTGAGTTGTGATTCTTTGTGTCTGGCCATCTTTCTAATATTTGAAGTTTGTCCTGTGATCTCGATTGTTCGTTGAATCTCACAGGAATTGCTGATTCTCAGTTTATTTCCCTTTTTACATGATATTAAGATGAGAACAACTACCAAACTCTTTAAAGAAGGGCTGGAAATCAGAAGTCAAAGCATCATTTTAATGAGAAGGAAGAGGAAGAGGAAGGAGGAGAAAGGACGAGGAAAATTACAGGCGCTGGTAGATTTAACCACAAACATTTCAGCTCTATTTTCATGTCAGCATAATTCTCATATTAAAACACTGTGAGAAAGTTAGAAGAGCAGATCTTTAATGGACTTCCTTCATACACTTAGCTCCAAAAGGCCTTGATGAAAAGTTAGCATATGTGAACAGGATCAGATTTATTCCAAATAAATAAGGATGGTTTAACAATAAATGAATCAGCTGGGCATGGTGGCTCATACCTGTAATCCCAGCACTCGGGAGGCTGAGGCAGGAGGATTGTTGCGAGTTTGAGACCAGCCTGGGATACAAA